CATTCTTCAAATGAAAAAAAAAAAGGAATAAAATACAATAAATAAAAAAGAAGACCTCTCTTTTATATTCCCTTCCCTGAATACCAGTTGGAATTTTGATTGAAACTTACATTGATCTCATAGAATAATTTGGGAGAGAACTGATCTCTTTATTGGCTCTTTCTCTCCATGAGATGATTAGCCTTTTATTTACTTGCTGTGCCTTACTCTCATATGTGGAATGAAGAGTAGTAATACTATTTACCTCAGAGATTTTTGGGGGGATTAAGAATGTTAATACACAAACTATACTTAGAAGAATAGTATAAAATACACAGTAGGCATTTGAAATTATCATAGTGTATTGGGATTTTAAGAGACTGTGAAATAATTCCTTCTTTTTCTCCCAAATGGCTCTATGGGATATGGATAAATGGTGATCAAAACACCATTTTGAGTACTGACACAAGTGGTTAGGGAATGTTGCTTTAGATTAGTGAAAACGTGCCTTGTTAACATTCCTCTGCTCTCTTTCCCATTCACTCTATATAATCTTGGGATTTAGGGCAAGTTTGGGCTTGCAAAGTGGATACACCATCCAGTTTTTCTACTTCCTGTCAACTAAGGTTAAAATAGGACAAAAAGAGGGTAAATCACCAATGCTTGGAGCAGTTCACTACATCATCTCCATCAAATAGAGTAAATGGAAGTCAGATATATTCTTTATCAAAAAGCTGACTTACGGAGTGAGAAGATCTAAAGTATCACTGAAGGAAAAGTTGCTACAAGAATATATGTTGGAAGATTTCCACAAAATATTTGCTTTCATTCTGATTTGAATGAAACCTTCATGAAGGTTTTAGCATTTTTGGGGGTGAAAATGTTATTTTTCTAGGAGTTTAAATTTATCATCTTAAAGTAGCCCATATAATCTATTTCGATTTAAAAAAAATCTCCATTATATTTATAGTGAATGTTCTTTTTCCCCATATCTAGTGTTGTTTGGGCTTTATTTTTAGTCATAACAGAAATTTGTCTATTTTTTCAGTATTTTCAAAGACCTAGAGTTTTTATTAATATGCTATTTTGTTTTCTGTTATTAGTGTTTGCTCTTACTAGTTAGGTAATTATCTACTAATAACTAGGTAATATTGGGAAATATTTTTATTGATAAGTCAGAATTGGAAACCAACAATATTTCTCTTATTTATTGCTGCTGCAATATTTAATTAATACTAAATCATAACAAGATTTAAAATAGGCTAATCCTTCATTTACTTGAAAATTATAACTTTAAATCACTGATTTTTTTAACAATAACAATTTCAATTAAAAATTGGCTGGTCTTGAAAACATTGACAAATAGAATGGATAAGGTGAATCCAAGGGTCGAACGTAAACAACAGAAAACATATCAAAGTACTATTCTCATTAAATAGAGATAATAGGTAGAGTTTCAAATTAGCTACAGTCTGGCACTCTACATAGCTAGAGTTTAAATCCCATCTTTCCTACTTTGTAATTGTGTGACCATAGACAAGTTAGATGACCAGCTTGTGCTTCAGTTGCATCATTTGTGAAGTGGGGATAATAATTATTCCTCTTGCATAAGACTGATACCAAGATAAATCAAGTTAATGTATGTAAAGCACTAGAATTAGTAATATTTAGCAAATACGATGCAAATACCAATTATAATTATCTTTTCTTATTTCAAAATAGACTTAACAGTCCATTAGAGCTGTAATGTCCAAAGGTAATATATTGGGAGCAGGAATTTTCTGTTTATTCTTCTTATGCCTTTTCAATTTCTATGTTTGCGTGCCTTATAATACGTGTTAGTAGGAAAGGATACTTATACAGGTTATTAATGAATAAACACACTTAAGTGTAGAGGATTAAATGGTCATTTCTTTTTACAGGTACTTAGTCAAAAGCTTAGAGATGATTGCATTACTGAAGTATATGACACTCCTAACTACAGAAGGGACTTGCAATTTATAATTTGTAATATACACTTTGTATACATTATCCCAAATGCCAGGAAGACACGGAGCATACTCATAGTATGTGCTTATCATCAGAATCTGATTCTTGCCACATCCAGTGGGCAGAACTGAATGATGAGGACACAGGCAGATCAGAGTAAAGCATTTAAGTCAGTCCTACCTTACAACCTGCATGAGGCATTTGGTAGGCTTTGCAGGGCCTCAGAGAAGTTGACTCATACTTTGTTAGCCTATGTGCTCACCACACACACACACATATAGTACGGCAAAGACACAGGAAATATAAAATCCATTGGAATATAAACATATCATACCAACATTTTCTTCTGTGTGATGGTTAATGAATGATTTTTTTGTGTGTTTACTTTTCTGAAACTTTAAAACTTCTATGAGACAATCACACAAAAACATTTACTATAGAAAGCAATCTGGCCATCCTGTCTCCATGATTCATTTTCGATTTTTTTGAGTAAAATAAACTGAAGATGCTACCAAAACAACAGCTGCTCAGCTATAAATTACTAAAACAAGCTTCTTGTGCAATATCATCATTTGAAGGACTGTATTTAAAGCGACTTACAACTTCATGAAGGATTTTACTTAACACATTCACACGATAGAGCTTTTGAAGTCATTTAGGGAAGGTCTGGGGATTACAAAGGAACAAACCCCGTTAGCTTTGCTGAGAATTTGAAAATTAATTTATGTAAACAAAAAGGAAAGCCATGTTTGCTAGAAAATCCATATGCCCACTACCGTCTTTAATTGGGGTTCCAAAAGAAACTGCTCATTAAAAAACAAAGCATTTATGCTCAAAGAGTTATCATCAACCTCATTGACTAGAAAGATAACACCCAGAGGAGGTGGTGGTAATTAGTGGGAACCTTGGGGGCATTTAAATTACTAGCTTGCAAAATTCTGTTGTCAGCTTAAAAAATCTTTTTACTAAAGCTCAATTTCTAAATGGAGTTTTTTTTTCCTTTTTTTTTTTTAAGCGACAATAATTCAAAGCAATGTCTTTAGCACAGAATCTACCTTGCATTCAGTGCTGATTCATGCTCACCATGGGCAAGTTATCTACTTCTTTCTCAGCTTCTTCATCTGCTAAACAAGGATAATAATGCTCACCCTTACAAGCTTGTTGTGTGAGTTCATTAGTTAATGTTGGCGAATCATTCTAAAGATGGAATGTACTGATTATCATTACCTTTGATATTTATATAATTTAGGGCTCACACACTGAATTTTTTAAATGAGAATAAGTAAATGTGACGTTTCTTTTTTTTTGCTTGTATATGTGTCAATGTGTTTTGGTCCTTTCAGAAAAGTAAACATTGTGAACTGCTGGTTAATTTGTTAATGAAGGTATACCTACCTTGAATGTTTAATTGACAGACTGGCATTTATAGTAATCTGTAAGTGTTGGGATATATAAAGACGACTGTAATGGTTTCTTATGTCTTTGTTATTTTTTGCTTTTTGAGGATCTAGAGTTTTCCTCTGCCTGAATAAAACAAAAGAATTTTGGGAGCATGAATACCAAATGCTTATTACTTTCCTTATATGGATGCTTTCACATTTTCCAGATTTAGTGAATTTCATCGTTTTAAACCTAAATGGTTTTATTTTACCTTCTAGAGTACAAAGAACATATATCATCTCAAATTAGCATTTTCATGTTCCTTAATAAATATGTAGAATGAAATACATGGTTCAGATGACATTTCAGTCTTAATTCCTTTGAGGAATAGTCACACTGTTTCCCACAGTGGTTGTATCAGTTTACATTCCCACTAACAGTTCAAGTATTCACTTTTCTCCACATCCTTACCAACACCTGTTTTTCCTTATCTTTTTGATAACAGCATACTAACGGTGTGAGACGATTGCTCACTGTGGTTTCAATTTGCTTTTTTTCTGATGATTAGTGATGTGATCATCTTTTCATGTGTCTGTGGCCATGTGTATGTCTTCCTTAATGATTTTTTGTTTAGATCATAAGTGTCCATCAATAGATGAATAGTTAAGATGCGATATACATAAACAATGGAATACTACTCAGCTGAAAAAAAGACAAAATGCTCCCATGTCTTAATATGGATGGACCTAAAGGGTAGTATGATAAATTAAATAAGTTAGATGGAAAAAGACAAATGCCTGTGGTTTCACTTTGGTTTCACCCATATGTGGAAGATAAAGAAGCAAAGCAAATGCACAAACAAAAGTAAACACTTAGATTCAGAGAACAGTTTATTGGTTACTAAAAGGGAAGGGATCAAGTGGTAGAAAAAGCAGGCATCTAGACTTTTAATGGTGATATAATTCTCTACACCTGAGATTTATAGCTAATCCTATCAACAAGTGCTGTTTTCATAAAAGATTTAAAAAAACTCACTTTGCAAATACACAGGTATAGCTGATTAGCAATGAATCACTGTCCACTTAATGAGCACCTTCTACCTGCTAGCTAGCTTTGGTTTGTGAATCAGTTGTTTTAAAAATGTAGTTTCAGGACCAGCATCACTTGGGAACTTGTTAGAAAGATAAATTCTCGACTTTATCCAAAACCTCTGAATTAGGAACTCTGGGAGTGGGGCCCAGCAATTTGTTTTAGTAACAAAATCTTTATTCACCAAAATCTAAGGAACATAGTATACAAAATTGGATTAAACAGACTGTTTATCGATGTATAAACTCTCCACATCAGTCCTTGTTGCCTGCATTTGGACCACTGGCCTGTCAGCACTCACCTTCCGCGTAATTGCTTCTATTTAGTGATTACACATCCATGCTTTCAAGTTTAAGAAATACTGAGCTATCACCTCTTGCATCTCCATTCCATAAGCAGAAGTAGGTATTGAAGTTGGAGTGGAAGATTCTTTCAACTGAATTCAATTCTTCTTAAGTTCATAATCAGCCCCATGTTGTAGGGGTTAGAGTAGGGTCCACACCTGTGCAGGTGGCTATATAAGCACTTGAAGGGGCGTCAGAGAGTGAGCATGATGGCGGGTGTCAAGAGTGGGTGGGGCAGGTCTTCGTTTGTTCCTGTGCTTTTGGCTCTGGGCTTTTGGTGTATGTATTTCAGTTGGGCAGAGCCCCTGGGCTGCACCAGTGTTCTGCCTTCCCGTCTGAATGAGCTCTTTTCTGTCAGGCAACGTGGCTTCACTCTCAAGTCCAAAAGTAAGTAGTGGAAGCACTGCTCCCTGCCTGGAAGTTAGGGAATGTTTCAGAAGCTTCCCAGTGATATTTTGTGGGCCCAGTGGGGAAGTAGATGTAAGTGACCACAGATATTTAGGCTTCTAGGAGTAGAGCAAGTAGTTAAAGGTAGGAAATATTCTTCAGCTGGTCTAATAGGAAAGGAATTTGTTTGTTGATCTCAGCTCTGTTGTTCTGAGTGTGAGGTGTTAAATGTTGTGGGTGACACCTTAATATTCTGTGTACCAGGATGCCCTAAAGTGTAGTAGGTACAGTTGGTGGCCTGGGCAACTGCAGCGTAAGAGATGTGGCAGGCCAAGGTATGTCCTCAGTCACAGTGACTGGGCTGTTTGCCAGCCCCAGGGCTAGCCTTCTCTGCCTTAAAACCGGCTGTGGTGATGGTAGCAGAGGACGCTCTGCCATCCCTGGTTGCTGTGGAGAGTCAGGAGCTCATCTTGTGGTGTGTATACATGGCCGGGTCTGCTAAGTCTGGCAGCCTCACACATACCCTGTGAGTGGGGAAGGAGCAGTTAGGGAGGCCTTGCTTTAGTAAGTTTCCTTTGTGGCACAATCTGTGACCACAGCCTCCTGGCGTGTCTTCTTCCTACAGGTGCTCAGTTCCTCCATGGTTACTGGCTTCTCAGTTTTGAAGCAGCACCCTTCTCGGGGGTTTCCTTGGTACAGCTGTGGGCCTGGGTGCCAATTGCCCCCCATGCTACCGAACTGGTTCTAGAGTTCGAGGAACCTCGAAGAAGCCCCAGAAGATACCTCCTGGGATCTTTCCCCATTATCTTTCCATCCTATCATTTAGAGAAAGGGTCATTACTGGAGATCTACTGCTTATTAAGGTATTGGATGGAGCTGGTCCCCAGCCTCCTGGAAGAGGAAAAGCTCCTTTCTACTGCTCTGGCTGATGCCAAACTGCGCGAGTGTGTTAGCGGCGAAGACAAGCGGGATCTAGTGCTGCTGCTGGTGTCCCCGCTTCTTGCACAGCTGCATTTGCTTCACCTGCCTTATGTGCAGAAGCCCTTTCTTCCTGATGTGGAACAGCTGTTCCTGGGGCTCCAAGGTCAGCGCTACTGGCAGGCAGAGAAGCCTGGCCAGGCAGAGAAGCTTTGTCATCTGCAGGATCAAAAGGTGAACCTTCACAGAGCTGCCTGGGGCGAGTGCATTGTTGCCCCCAAGTCCTTCAATTTTCCTCTTTGTCAGGGGACCTGCCTGACCCTGAACAGTGAGTACCAGGAGACGAACTTCCAGTGCCAGGAGGTGAGACATGGATTCTTGTTCTTGTAAGGATTGTGTTGGCAGTACCCTACTCGCTAGGCTGCCTTTTTAACCAAAGAAGCCACTGAAGGTGGTACAAGCGCAACCAAACACATCTTTCCCCCATGTGTTGCCCAAAAGACACATTAGTTTGTCAAGATTGTTCTGAAACAGCCCTGATCAAGGAGCTTCTCCCCATACCCTCTTCCTTTAACACATACCCCACCTAGCCTACTAATGCCCAGAAGTAGGGGACTGTGGCTCTAATAGTATCCACTCTCCTCTTTGTTCCTGCAGAGAGAGGCTCCTACCTGTTCCAAGATCTTCCGGGTCTGTGGTCCCATCAAGGTCAGGCTTTTCTCCTTGATGGTCCAGGATGACGAACACAAGATGAGTGTGTATCACATGAACACGTCCCTGATAGAAAAGTGTGGCTGCTTTTGAGATACCTGGACTCTCCTATCCCATAGCCACTCAAATCTCGGGACTCCCATGATGGTTTGGGGTTGGTTTTCAGAACAGTGAAAGTCCTTTGAAGGACAGTGGGATTTGATTTAGTTCTCAAAATACAGTAAGAAGGATAGAATCATGAGAGTTATCCCTCCTTGGATACTTGTACTCTAGTACTGTTCTCATCACCTCCATTGCTAAGAGCTAAGGCCTGTTTTGTGTCTAGATGTCTGAATATTGCTCTGGATTGGGTGTTGGCCAGATTCAGTGCCACACTGGGTGTCACTTAGGTGGGGAAGGAACTGATATAGAGTTGTCTACCCTTGGGTTCAGGGAAAAGTGTTATCAGTGTTAAGCAGGTCTCTGCTTTTGGGACTCTCAAGCTATTCCCCTGCTCTTGCCCTTCTCTGTATCATGGGCCTGGGGTTGGCCTAAAGCTGGTCTGGGTCTTGGAATGTCAGTTCCTCCCCACCTAGCACTCCCAGCCTCTTTGGAGTAAATGAAATCTCTAGCCAATGGAGTGCTATGTCATGGGCTAGCCATGGGTGCAGGACACCAAGGCATTAGCTGCTAGTGTCAGATGAGGACCTGGGAACCAGGAGGCACAGAGGTAACTGGAGACTAGCTCTTGGAGGTGGGGCCTTTGACCTCAAGGAAGGGCTAATTTTCTCATTTAAGGAACTTTCTGCCTAGTGACTAGTTTACTAAGTTAATTATGGTCTTTAATTAAAGTACAAGTGTGGTGGATCTCTTGTGTTAGAAATGTACCTCTTACTACCCTTTTTTCTGAATCAGAATGAATATATGTTTGGTCTTAAATCTTACTGTTAAAGATCACAGAAAAGAAAAGTAACTAGAAAGCTCTTTGAAATAAATGTTCAGTGTTCACTCAAGTGACTTGTGGTTTTCATTTCTAAAGCCTAGCTGCAAACTAAAAGGAAGTACTGCAGTGCAGATATCATTGCAAAAATAACTAGCTGGATTTTGGTGCAAAAGAGAAAGCAAACTAAATATGACACTGCAGCATTTACTCAATGCCTTAATATTACATTATCTTTCAAAATCTAGGAATAAATCAGCTACACTTAATAATCTTAAGATTGCTGTAATATTCAGTGTTCTCAGCAGATACTCAAAGTTCTCCACGTTAACCTGCATCTTGCAGCGTAATCTGTGTAGTTGACAGTGTGTTTGGATGGGAGCTAAATTAGAGAAGGCAGGTCTGGTTCCTGCCTTTCCTAGGCTGTTAGTGGATTTTCATAAATTAAGAGTGCACTATCTTATTTCCTAAATTTTTGGTACTTCTGCAACTGAAAATTGCACAAATTTAAGGAAGTAGTTTCTGCTTTAAATGTAAAGAATAGCAAAGGGTGTAATACAAAAGATCCAGCTTCTACCACCAAGCCTGTCTTGATAATTACTGCTTTGCCTGACATGTACCCTGCCAGCTCCTAAGCTTTAAAGTCCCTCATGTGGGTGTGCGCTCTGGAGTTAACAACAGCTGACACTCTGTAGAGCAACCGCCCCTCCCTCTCAAGGTCATACTACCCCAATATGGCTCCACCTCAGTTTAATTAGCTTTTCCTACCCCTTCCCACTGTTCTGCCACTCTTGATCAATAGTCATCTATTCATCAAGGATCGTTGTCTGTTTAGGTATAATTTGGTTGTAAATATGTAGAGGTGGCAAGCCTAGTGGCTTCACAATGGCATCATCTCACTGAACCCTCCTCCATCAATTCTTATGTATTTTTTCCCAGTTTATTTTAGAATAAGCTTAAGTTCCATAAAGTCTGATTTGAATTTACATTGAGGTGAGGCTATAGAATAATTTGTGGAGAAAAGATTTAAGGCTTACCCATTTCATTTTACATTTAATGAACAAAAAGACCTGAGTCATTTTTTTAAAATTTAGGCCATAGCTATTTTTTAAAAATTTTTATTTTATATATTTTTTACACCATTTTTCATTTTTGCACAATGTATGCATTTTCATCTTGGTTATAGTCCCCATACAATTCCGCCCCCCCCCCCCCGTTTTGATCCTACTCTCTCCTCCCCCTTCCCCCCGCCCCGTAGTGTGTTTCTACTTAGATTTAGTCTTGGATGGTCCAGATTACTGTTGCAAATGTGAATGGGACTTTTATCTGCATGCATTTATATACCATTAGCCTTATGACCCTCCCCTTTCTGTAACTCAAATTGTATAGACTCAGCATTGTTTTTTTGCTAAAGACCAACCCAGACTTCAGTGCTTTTTTAGTCCTTTGGAAAAATTCCACTGAATAGCTTTTTCTTTCACATTTGGATTGGTGGAGTTATTAAATACTAGTGACTCCCTAGCCTTGATAGAATGTAGGACAGCCAAATGGTGGTATATACAATTAACTATTAGAAAGTGGATTGAATTTGACTGCTAATGTCTGAGTAGTTTGGATCTACATACAATAACTCTAGAACAACATGGGTTTGAACTGCTGATATACTGAGATTTTTTTTTTCTTACTGTGGGTTCCACACTGATGGATGTCCACATCTGTAGTTAGTTGAATCCCCGATGTGGAATGTGCATATGAGTATACATGTGCAGAGACTGACTGTATATGTTCTATGGGTACTTCTACTCTGGGGGTCGGCATCCCTAACTTCTGTTTTTCAAGAGTCCATTTTACATTTTAGATGTCATGTTTCATAGCTATTTTATGTCAGGATAATTAAAAAGGTATTTAATTTATATATACAGAAATCTTCTATAAGAAAAAGAATCCAGAAGTCCTGTTTTAAGACCTGGGCAGTCCTATTAGAGCCTCAACATCAGAATTTATATCCCAATGGAGAATACATTCATGGAAATGTATTTTGAGGGGATATACTTAAATACTTTCAGACCACTTCTCAAAGAAGATGAAAGTTGGATGACCAGCAGCTGGCAAACCAGGTAATAGAAGGTAGGTGCTTTCCAGCTGAACAATGCAGCACCATAAAGCCCTAAGGAGAACAAAGAGTAGGAAAACATCATTCAGATAAGTGCAGAAAGCTTAATGGAGCTGGAGATAGGCTTGAGGTGGGGAGAGTAAGCAGATAAACCCTGGGAAGATGAGAACTGTTTGGGCAGAATTCACAACATCATGTGCATTCCAATATTGCTATCTTCATGACAGAAGTTATGTAAGTCACAGATGGACCAGGTCATGTGTATATGGTAAATTGTATTAAAAAATTGGAACTGTCTACAAAAGCTGAACACAAGGATGTCATGCCCTATGACCTGGCAATTTCTCTCCTAGGCATCTATATCACCAAAATTACAGCAGTAGTTGACGTAAAAACCTCAAATTGGAAACTACCAAATTGACATCACCAGTAGAATAAATAATGGTATATACATGAGGAATACTCAGTAATGAAAATAAATATAGTTGTTTGCAGCAGAAGTAATGAGTCCCACAGACATGATGTGGAGGGTGAAAGCCAGACTCCGTAGTGTATGTGCTTATATGACCCCACCTTCATAAACGACAAAAATAGGCAAAAGTAGCATAAATGCTCTATGATTGTGCTTAAATGAGATAATCAGTACAGTCAAATTCACAGAGACAGAGTTTAATGGTGTTTGACAGGGCCTGGGAGTTGGGGAGATATGAATAGATTGTTTAATGGATACAGCGTTTCAGTTTGGGGTGATTAAAAGGGTTTTGGAGGTGTGTCAACATGTTTAATGCCACAAGACTGTATACTTAAAAATGATTAAGATGGTAGTTTTATGTTATGTGTGTTTTGCCACAATTTAAAAGTAATGTATATTTTAAGACAAACAAAACTAATATTGTTAGGATAATGGTTACTGTCAGGGCTGGAGGAGAGCATGAAGGAATTTTTAAGGTAAAGGGAATGCTCCTATTAATCAGGACAGGGGTCTTTTTTTTTTTTTTTTTTTTTTTTAGAGGCATGTGTTTTTTTTATTATTTATTTATTTGTTTGTTTACACATGCACTGGGTACAGTCAGAAGCGCGGGAGGGTGAGAGAATTCACCAGAGCCAGAGCAGGGAGCAGAGCAGGCAGAAGGACTGAAGTACACTGCTGAGGGGAGCAGCGGGCGGCAGGAGAGGTCTGCGCGCCATATGGGACCCTCCTCCAGTGGCCGGGGAGCAGCTGGGGATCGAACTGGCTCCGCAGAGGCCTCGGGCAGCTTCGCAACCCGGCGCTCAACCGCTGCGCCACTGGGGAGGCCCAGGACAGGGGTCTTTTGGGGGTTTGTTCAGTTTGTGAAAAGTCATCAAGCTGTATACTTACTGTGCTTCTTTCTAAGTATTATATTTCAATGCAAAGTTATCCTGGATGAAAAAGAAAACTAATGGGAATTTTTAAAGTGAATTAATTTGAAGCAAGTTATACTACTGAGTGCCAGTGAAGGACTCTTCTCAGTCATTTAATCCCTGACAACATTCGGAGATAAATGCTGCTTTATAGAAGAGGAAACTGAGGAGGGAGTCATTGTCTACCCCTACTAGATTTGTAGTAGGGGGCATCCCAAACATCTCAATCTGGGTTTTTACTGCTCAAGGTTTGTTCCTTTGACTCCTCAAAGTTTTCAATCTTTAAAATAGAAGAAATTCTAATTAAGCAAACAAAAAGGAGTGTTGGTGTGAAATTGCACGTCTCAACCACAAGGTAAAAAAATTTTTTCTTTATGTAAACTTCTCACTCAAGTTAGTTTCAGGGTAAGCTGGACTCACAGGATGGGTGCTCATTCTGGAGAGCTCAAAAGCAATTATGATAGGCTTATTTTTTTCAGTGAATTTTTAAGAAAAAAATTATAATAGTTTAAATTTTTAGAGCGATAAAGTGCAAACAGATTTGAAAAACTCATGAATCAAGGCTTTTATGCACAGACATTTGGGAAAATGCACATTTTTAAAATGTACATAATGTACATCTTTTCTGTTAAAGTAGGATCTTTATGTTCTTCAATCCCAGTTATTTTCTGGGGGAAGAAAGATTCTGATCACTTTCCCTCTGGACTCTGTCCTCTGTCTCTCTTTGCCTTCTCCTTTCCATATTTGTTTCTCTAAGGCCAGTTTGCCTCCCCTCACCACCCACCCCCATCCCCCACCCTTTCTGTTCTATTGAGTTTGGCAAGAACACCCTGTCTGCCTTGAGTGTCAGCCGCATCCAGTTATGTTTGGCTGGCTGGTCAGAGCTCAGCGCCCTGGGCCTGATCTGCTAGAGTGCAGAGACATGTGCCCAGGTCTGGCTGCTCGAGGCCCTGTTCTCTGTCACACCCCATCAGATTTTTGAGACACCAAATTGCCCCAGGGATTTGGCCTGATTAAAATAAACTGTTCAGAACACTCTTAAGAGAGTATTATCTGGGAAGGTTGGGAAAGAAAAAGGAGTCATCTTGGAAAAGATAAAGGAAGACAGTACAGGAAATGGGAACTAGATGGGGGCAGAGGTTAGCACTTATCACAGCCAATCTGATGCATCTTGCTCTGTCAAATGTCTCTCAAATATCTCCTTTGACCAGCATTTTGCAGGCTCTCTGTTGGTAACTGCCACTTATTTCGCAGTCCTGAATTGAGAGATCGGCATGAGAGAAGAATACAGTATCTATTGCAAAGACTCCCATGTGAGACCCATTGTACTGTCCCCTTATTTTAGCTTGAATCCAGGCAGGCTGACATATTTTAACTGGGGGGTCTGTGTGCGATCTCACTCACTGCAGACAAGCCATTCTCCTGCCATGTGGAAATCTTCCATTTCCCTTCCCTACTGTGTCTCTGGTCAACAGTTATAAACTCTCTTAGACAGCTGGTTGTATATTAAAGTCTATTTATAACAGTCAACGGACAACTGCTTGTTTATGGGGCATCATGGCAATTTTTGCTGAGGAAGGACAATTG